ATATGCACAAATTGTGGAGCATCTTGGCAAGGTATGTCACAACTAGAAATTTTTTATAGGCACTACTGGGAATTCCACGGGTGCCTTCGATTTAATGCAAAAAATAGGATCGGAAAAGTCAATTGTTCGATGAAATCCGGCTGAATTGTGGCGTATGACAACGTGTACGTTTCCAACATGACAATTGCGAAAAAAAGAGCTCGAAGCTTTTGTTGAAACTTTTTAATTTGCTGAGCTGAGTTTGAAATGATGAACAATTTACGGCAGCAAAGGGATTGCCCGAAATGGCGACAAGGGCAAAACAACTGAACTGCTTCACCCAGAACATCGGGAGAATGCAAGAGCAATCGTTAAACGGATCACTAGAACAGTGAGCATTGTAACTGTTGAGGTTTGCTCCGCTGAGATGACCATAGATCGTTATTGTGGTGAACGAGCGTACGCTCCTCACGCAAGCTTTTCAATACTCTTTTATCGACATCTTCACAAAAATAAAGCTCGTTTTTTCAGAAACGCAGACAGCTCATGTGTTGTTTCCTTTCGCTGATTTTTACATTTACAGTGTAATTACTTCGTCTGTGATGAATGAAGCGCCATTTATTAAAGAGTTCGTTAGGTCGAGAGACACTTGTATATTTCGCTACTCGAGTGCTGTATTTTCATCGGCAGTTTGAGGGAAACGTTTCTTTACTTGCAATTTACTAGCATTTTAATCACCACTGTGATTAATGATTGTCTCCACGTAGTCCATCTTTATTTTAGACAAATAGCTCATTTTCTTTTCGTTGACTTTAGGTCAAATTCTTCAAGATAACGCCGAAGCAAAAATTAGTAAAATTTACCCGCCAATTTTCAATCACCGTGCTCTATTTAACAAATTGATTCCAAGTTGCCGTGTGTCTGTTCAGTAATAGATCACAGATGACGTCAAAATGTGGTAAGAACAAAAAAGTGGCACACGAGGCGCAGCCGAGTGTGTTACTGATGTTCTTACCACATTTTGACATCCTCTGTGATCTTTTACTGAACAGACGCACGGCAACTTGGAATCTATTTGTTTTATAGAATAAAAAATTTTTAAAAAAATTTAATGATTACGTCATCTATTCGTCTGTCCCCCAAAAGATCATAAGTGAGAACCAATCAGAATGCGTGCATAACTGAGCTTATCATATAAACTCTCATAGAGCACGCTATTTCAACCAATCAGAGCGCGCGTTATATCCAAAATTTCTTATAGATATGTTTTAAAGTAGTTATACCACACGACGTTTAACCATAATGCTTGTCTTACAAGGTTCATTTTTTGATGGAGCCATTTTGCGTGGTATTGAAACGCACCCTGTCGTCCTCTCATCCACTTCATCAAATTTTAAAGTATCACTGCAGGGACGTGACAGTCCCAAATACAATTGGTGCTCCAAAACTTGTTGGCGAAGGAGAGTTTATGGATCAGCTGTTCGCATTTGGAAATGAAGGAACCACCCGACTTCTTAGAGAAGCACATAAATTAAGCACATGGGATGTCACAGATTTTAGAAACGAAATAAAGGTATGTGATGCGTCGGTTTTCCCCCTTAACGTTTCAACCTATAAAAATTCAAAACATTTCGGTCAACCAAAACACTTTTTCAGGCTTAAAAGACATATAAATGTATTCCTATTGACCACAATATTCAGACTATATATTCGCATGAAGAATAGACAGTCAACCCTTTTCTCCAACAAAAGAGCCTAAGAAGAAGAAAAAATTGAACTCATATTTTTTTTATGCAGTCCTTTAATAAACTTATACCTAATACTTCTTTTTTTTTCCCCTTTTTATCAAACCTTCTACCGCCGCCCCTTTTTGTTCACATTCGGGTTCACACATGTACGTTGGAACATTAAATTATTCCAAATGAATACGACATCTTCGATCGAGTATTTCACTCGAAAAGCGTTCACAGATAATGTACTACACGTCTCAAATCAAATGCAAGTTGAAACTGTGATCCATATATAGTACTCCAGTCTCCATTATTTCTGATGGCGTCTTTGACATGATGAACTCAACTGAATTATTGTTTAAAGGAAGGAAAGAACTGCAGCGACATAAATAGAACAAAAATGAATTCTGTTTTATTTAACTATAACTCGAGCATAGCAAGAATAGTCTGTACGAATAGGCCTACGAACCCGGTGCATGCGCTTGCAAAGTAATTTTAAAAGGAGCAATTTTGTGGAAACACATAGCTTGGAAATTGAGTATGTTGTGCTGTAATACATTTACAATCAAGT